GTCTCTCAGTACATTGACCATCGCCTCTACTGTGATTGTCCCTTTGTACATTGACCGTCTCTCAGTATACTGACCATCTCTCAGTACATTGACCATCTCTCAGTACATTGACCATCTCTCAGTACATTGACCATTTCTCAGTACATTGACCATCTCTCCGTACTGTGACCATCTCCCCGTACATTGACCATCCCTCCGTACTGTGACCATCTCTTCGTACTGTGACCATCTCTTCGTACTGTGACCATCTCTCAGTACATTGACCATCTCTATGTAGAATGACGATCTCTCAGTACTAGAATGACTATCTTTCAGTACATTGACCATCTCCCCGTACATTGACCATCTCTCCGTACTGTGACCATCTCTCCGTACTGCGACCATCTCTCCGTACTGCGACCATCTCTCCGTACTGTGACCATCTCTTCGTACTGTAACCATCTCTCCGTACTGTGACCGTCTCTCAGTACATTGACCATCGCCTCTACTGTGATTGTCCCTATGTACATTGACCGTCTCTCAGTATACTGACCATCTCTCAGTACATTGACCATCTCTCAGTATATTGACCATCTCCCCGTAGATTGACCATCTCCCCGTAGATTGACCATCTTTCAGTACACTTACCATCTCTCTGTACTGTGACATATTGACATTATGCCTATATACATTGTATACACAACACATATGCTATGCCTTGCATTGATTGGTTTGTGCCAATTTCCAGAACTTATCTGAGTGGTTCTGAGCTTGTCTAAATATCGGAAATTTGTTGGGATTTGTTCTCAGTAATTTAATCCTCTGAATATTATTTCTGCTGTCATCAAAGATGATCTCCACAGGGGTCATTATCGTCTGTCATCTGTTGATCATCTACAATTATATTTTCAACATCTTCTCAAAAAGCCTGATTGCTTTGATACTTAATATTGCAGGTACCTTTGGTTAATTTTTGAACCCATCAATGTATTTACGATTAGAGACACATTGACAACATTTTAACTAAATTGTGGACAGTGATTTTTGTGAATATTCTCTGTTATTCGACAAGCAGTATCAACAGTTCATTGCAAAATATGCCATTGCAATTGCCACTGTAAAGTGAGCAATATTTTAAATATCTCTATCCTTATTTAAAATGAAATATTGGCTTGTTAGTTAAATGATACTGTTGTTATAAAGCAAGTATATTCAGATTGATTATATTTTAAACATTTTTCACATAAAATAATATGTCTAGTCTTTACACGACCGTTATTTTAGTGAATAGTTGGTGATGTCACAATTTTAAATTGCATGCAAGCACCAATTAGATTTGCTGCTCAGAGGATGTAATAAGGAAAAATAATGTCACTGCTACTGCTTGATACAACAATTACGATGCATTTGTGATGATATGAAAATCTCTATTCTCTTGTTAGGATCAAAATCTTCAAAAAAGAAATGAAGAGTATGAATGACAAACTGAAGGAAAACAACACTGTCATGCATGCCTATAAGAATTCCGTAGATGAGTTACAGAAGGGTGATGACAAGGATTTTAACTTTGAAAATGGAGATTTAGAGAAATTGGAATAAAGGTTTATTTTTTTTACTTGCGTTGAAAAGAGCATTTCATGTTATCATAATATAATAATTATAATTACCAATTTATTGGACGAACCTTTTGTCAGGGTTTGATGAAATATTTTTTAAAATTGTAATTTATTTCAAATCCATGCACAATATTTTTTAGTTTGTTTAACGATAGTGAAGTAATTGAATATGATGTTTTCATTATGTGGTATTTAGATAGTTACCATTGAAATTTATCACAGTAAATCATTCAAAAAAACATGCAAAATAATCCAAAAAGCAGTCCTTTTGGAGCATTATCCAATGATAGTTTATACTAACATTCGAAATACTACATATCATTTTTTTTTTTTTTTTTGGCATAGGCCACTGAACACAAAATTATTATGAGTTATGATGGAATGTTTATGCAATAGGAAACAATTGTAAACTAATCAAAACAAGGTCATTCGTGAAAATTTGTTTTTTCAGAATTATGAACATTACAGTAACCAAACTCCTTTTTACCTTGCCCGTACCATCAAAGATGGAAGGGAAAGGTATATTAAGGGAACAATTTCTGTCCCGCATTGTTGTCGTTAATAGTTGTTATTGTGTGCACAATAACTTTACTAATTCTATTCCAAACTTCATCAAACTTGGTCACCTTATTCATCAGTATAAAGTCTTCCCCGAATTTGAACAACAGATGTCCTGTATGAAAATATCATGCAAAAATTGAGAAAATCTGATAAAATATTTTGACTGTTTTTACTTGACTTGGAAATATGCATTGTTGTATGTGTTCAATGAAGCAAATCATTTATCTTGTAATAATATCCTTGGTAATGTATCTCCCAAATCACATAGGAATACTATACTGGGTTTCAAAAACAACTCATGGAGAGATTTTTTGCACAGTCTGATACACATTTGCAAACCTACCAATAAAATCTTTACAGAAAACAAGATGTCAGATATCAATATAAGCACTCTTATGAACTGGGTGTCAAACTTTGATCAAGATCTGAAGCTAATAGAAAATCAGTTTAGTTCAAAGTTATCAAATCAAAAACAATACATAAAAAAATACATAAAAAGCAAAACGTATCCACATTTTGAAAAGAAAATTGTACTAAAATATATGTATTCTCGACAAACAGTTCATTTGACAAATGAAAACTCACAGGAATATGTTTCAGCTATTAGAACAGAATGATAGAGTTTTTATAATACTGGTTTAAAAACACACTTCAAAGATTGCAGTGTTTGAAGATGTAGATTCTCAGGAGGCAACAGTACTGTTGAATTCTCTCTCCACTGGACACCAACTAACTATTTAAGTTGATTTGCATACAAAGCAGAGCTTGCAACATGATAGCTATTCATAGAGGGTGTTTTTTTTTACTTTTCATATAATACAGTAGTCACACAATGAGGCAGTTTATATTTGTCTCAGTGAATCACTAATTTTTGACAGACACTTGTACAAAATACTCGGACAAAAGTCAGCTAAGATTTTCTGTTATCTTGCATGTTTTATGAATGTATTCATGTCTAAATGCAGCACTTTTTTTCTGCAATGAAGCATTTGTTTTTATACAAAAATATCTGAATTACTTTGAATAAAGCTGGAAATTATGTCCCTGTAAATAATTTAAACAATTTAGGCACCAATGTTTTTGTAAGATATTTACATCTATCAAAGACATTCGGTAGATTGATTCCCCACTGTTGGTTCAACCCCAAAACTTGTTTGTATTCAAAATTAATTATGACAATGCATTTTTATATTAAAACAAACTATGATAAAGGGAATAATATTATATAACAAAAGGCAAGGTCACCAGAGTTCAACTATGTTGTGGATTTTTGAGTGTTTTTCTAATGGTAACAAACTACATGTACATCACAAAATTTTCTTAGATAATATTACTGTACTTTTTGGCTACTTCTATCCAATTCATGTTATATTCAACTATACAAAACCCCGAGATTGTATATCATATTTTTATAAAAATATTACTACATACCCCAGTATGATAATAACCAGTCTGAAACATAATACAGTTTGTAGCCATCTTGGATTTAATCAATTATTTATGGGCAAGGTTGTAATAGTTACTGTTTTATTGTATACTACAAATTAGAAAACTGATCAGAAAAAGACAATCTTTGTATGTGAATAGTAGTTCTTTATAAATGTTAAAATTCAAGTATAATTTTGTTTGCAGTCTGTTGGCAGTATCCCAAACTTTGCAACAAATTTTTAAGTTTTCAGCAAACACTAAATTTTCAGTTGTATCTGTGGAGTGTGTGCTTCCTGTGTCAGACATCGCTTGACCAGTTCTCTTAACACCTAGTGTGAATACATATGTGAAGATTTCCAGATTGGATAAAAAAAGATTAGCCATTTTTGTCGTAAAAAAACACACTAAAATAAAGTATTTTAACATGTCCGAAACCAGATCTTGGGCACATGTTTATCGAGTTACTTCAAACTTAGTGAGCAGTTAATGCAGGTCATGATTTATAAATTTGACTCAAAATGGCTGACTGGTAGCCATTTTATTTTTTCAGACATATATTCATTGAGCAATTCATTTCATACCTTGTCATCCATTCAAAGATGGCTGACTGCCAACAGGATAGGATTCAAAATGGCTAATTGGAAATGCTGTTCACCAGCCATGACTGATAGCAGTCAAAATTTTCAATTACATCATGTATTTTATTTCAATTTCCTTTGCTTAATAACAGAGTTTATTGCGTGACAGTACGCATATCATTGTCACATGTGTAATGTTTTCAATTAGTGAATGGATATTATGTCTGTCAATATATTTTGTGATTTTAGACGATTTTGTTGAAAATGTGATATCTTTGACATATTATCCTAATACATGTATATTGAGAAATAGTAATTAAATAGTGCTTGGACCAATAAATATGTAGTAGATAATTATTGAGAATAGCTAAACGTTTCAAGCAATTGCTTTTAATGTATAGGTTTGCATCATTAAATAGAACATGTATACTTGCATTAGGTAAAAAACACAGGGAATAAGTTGAATGTGGTTCCAATAAACATTCCTAGTAATACAGCTGAATTCATTATTGACGACAATATCCCCTATGGGTTAATTACACGGGACAGAATCATATTTTCTCCCTCAGATTAGTGTCACAGCACCATGCTGTAGTCTGTATGTGCTGAAATGTAGAACAAGTCTTACCTGTTCTGTGATGTGTGAAATGGTTTTAAAACTATTTTTATCTTGTCTGTGTGTTCACTGATATCTCCATTTTAAGATTTCAATGAAAGTTAGTACGTAGATGCTCTGGAATAATGCTCAGACCTGATTAGTGGTTGGTTAACATAATAACGGCATTTGACAAAATATACAACTGACGTGCCCATACAATATATTTTAACATAAAACTAATTAGGTCTGCATTTTGTTCCAGTGCACATACATGTATCTACCAAGTTTCATTATGTGATTAATTTTTTTTTTAAATCAGTGAAAAGCTAGAAAGTAAATTATTATGAATGTATATACATGTAAACCTAAAACTAATTGGATTGTTTTAGAGTTTTTATGTACCAAGAATCATTGAAATAATATATTTGAGATCAGTGTTAATAAAGCCAAGCAAATTATGTGATTAATATGCACATTTAAATCAAAACTAAGTCAGATCTGGGCATTGTCCTATTACCTCCATGTACATAGTTTCATTGAAATGTTTAACACCAGTGAAAAGCCAAAAAATGACAACCAGTAATCATTTTTACCCCAACCTAATCAGATCTGTGCATGCTCCTACAGCATCTACATATCAAGTTTCCTTAAAAAGTAATGATTGGCACTTGAAATATCAGTGGAAGCAGGTAATATTAATAGATTTTACCCAAAAACTGGTAAAATCTGCAAATTAGTCCAGAGCATCCATGTACCAAGTTTCATTGAAATCCAATGAGTGGTTCTTCAGATATCAGTGTAGTGTATGAAGCTATGTATCCTGCAACACTCGTTGGTTTGACATGTATTTTGAATTGCTACTGGAAACCTATCTATATATATATTCTGTCCCACAACACACCTTTGTGATGGTAAGGGTCTATTGCTGACTTAAAAACTTACAGTACAATTAGGCTTTCTCATTTGGTATATACACCATTTTCAATGTCTGACAACTTCCACCAGAGATCGTGCTTTTCTAAGTGAGGCACAACACTTGATAATCATTCTGAAATAGTTGGGCCAGTTAAAACCTAATCTGCCTGTTTAGGATTCTAGGTCGAATCAGAATGACCAGTGTATTGATAGTGACAGTAGTAGTTAGATTATCATCAAATAAAGTATTTGGCAAAGCTGCGAAACCTGACTGACCATATAATTAATTTAGAAACACTACTTGTAATATGCTGCATGAAAGCAAAATTGTGATTAAGCACTGCTGTAGTGAATAACGGTCATACACATGAACAAAATATGTCATCATTGCTGGGAAAGGATTGACCAGCTTTGTTATTAGTCCAAGAAAATTGTTCAGCTTGTTAACTCAAGTAGCACAGTGAACAATGCTAATTGGATGTGTGCTCAAGTCCTACAACAATGTGGTCCAACAGTTCACACTTGCTAAGACTGATGCAAGTTTTCTTTTTTACTCAAACATAGAACTTTGCATTCTGACTATTGCTATGTTCACAGGACAGCATTTTATCGGAGCCTACGGCTCGAGCCAAGTTTGGCTCCAATAACCCTCAGGGTTGAACTCTGATACAGGGTTGAGCCCCAACATGGCCCGACCATGTATACGCATCAGGGGCCTATTATCAGAGCCCAAATCACGCCTTCAATAGTCTTCTTCAAGTAACCTCTCATTTCATTTATGGAGGAGACAACATCTTTCGTAATTTCATGCAATTTCCGGCTTGACGAAGAGGTACGCATTCTAATATATATTTGGCAGAGTAATGAATTACTGCGATAGATTGATAGCTCAACGGGAAACAGAAAAAAGAAGTACGAAATTATGCGACAAAAACTTGAAAGAACGACTGAACGTAAACTTTTTAAAGACACCAAAGATAAAAATCGTAGAATCGATTACAGTACAGTGACGTGTTCCTCGTAGGTTTAGATTTTTCCAGAGTCCGTCTATTTAGATAGAGAGGATAGAGGGCCTGTGATTCTTCCCAGTAGTTTAGATACATGTATCACTACAGTTGAATAATTACAAAATGGTAATTTTGCACGACAATAACTTAGGCGAATAATAGGCTGTAACACATTTTAGCTGCAGTGTTTCCTGTTTATTCTAGCATGGATTCGAGAAACTTGTACCTCCATGCTCGTACCTAAATCATAACACCAGTGTATTGTCTTTTCTACCTCCATGCTCAGACTCGCAACTGTTTTTTTTTCTCCTATCTCAACAGCATCGTGTCATG